TGTTCACATGACGTTCTGGAGGGTGGCGAGGAACAGTTCTTGAGATGGTATCGCCCTGCCAACCCTCTCTTTTGACATCGATTTTAATATCGTTGTAGAATAGCGATAACTTGGTTTCGAATTCATTGTAAAGCTTATTAAGGATCTTCATATGCTAAGTAGAGGGATTTCCTGACTGCCCAAGACTTTCACGACTGGTTGTATACCAGTTGAATCAAAAGCCTTCTTTAAATCGAATAAACTGAAATAGAGCAATCTCTTGTGCGCTCGTTCAGCGAGGATCGTTATCGTGTGGATGTGATCCACCGTACAGAATCCTTTTCGAAACCCTGCTTGCTCACATGGCTGTCCTTCGTCCAGTGTTCTGCCAATCCTCTTCAGGATGACTCGAGTGAAAAGCTCGTGGACGATAGAGAGCAAGCAGATTGGGCGATAGTTGCCGATATCGTGTAGTTTACTCTTTTTGAGCAATAACACGGTCATGCTGATCTTCCACTAGGTAGGGAAGGGAACTTACATTCAGATGGGTAAAGCGTGAAGAGCCGAACCAATGTGTTTACGAGGACTGGTTGAAGGCCCTTCAGGTATTCTGATCTTATCCTGTCCCGACCTAGTGCTGTTCGAATTTTCACCGACGAAATCACATGTCGGATTTCGGAAAGGGTAAACGGTGATACAACACATCCATCCTCTTTGATTTCATATGACGGAAGGTGGGCGTGGCTATCGAAGAGATGCGAAGTAGTATTTGTGAATGATTTTCTCTACTGCCTTTCTGGACGCTGTAACTCTTTCGTCTGGGCGTCATAGTGCAATCATCTTGGTCTTGTAATTGGTGGAGCTTCGGTGGGCTGTGCGAATGCTTTTCCCAGCCTCTGCAGCTTCGACCATTATTGCTGCTTTTCTCTCTTTAAGATCTTTTTCTATCGCCTGTCTGCATTGTTTTGCAAGTTCGGAAGGTATTTCGTGGTTGTCTGCAGCTCGTGCGATTCCACGCTGGCGTATCAGCTCTAGTGTTTCTGGAGACAGACGTTTCTTGGTGACTTTCGAACTCTCAGCTTTCATAGCGCTAGCGTGAAGATGTTGAATGAGCCGATCGCATTCCTTGTCGATGATATCGACAACGGCATCTTCCCTGCAGCCGACTAATGAATTAGTGAGTCCCAGTTTTTGGTGGTTCTGTGATTTCGGCTTTTGAATTTAGTGGCTTTTTCTCCTTTCCGCGGGAGAATACAATCTAGCACGATGGAGACGATGGTCTGATCCCGCCTAGAATTTTGGGACAACAGCGACACCTATCAGACAAAACCTTCGGTTTACTATGATGTGCTCTATTTCGTTATGGTACTCTCCATTGGAAGACCCCCACGTCCAGCGCTGTGGGTGGGGCTTCTAGAACTGCGAGTTACCATGGATGGTCTTGGTTGCCATGATAAATTCAGACAGCCGCTCACCCTGTTCGTTCCATTCTGAACCGTGAGTCCCAGTGTGACGTTTTTCAGACTTTCTTCTTGGTCCAATATTGGCGTTGAAATCTTCAAAAATGAACTTGAAGAATGCATGGTCTTTCCTGCAGAACTTTTCCAACTGCATGTAGAACGCTTCGACTTCTTCTTCGTCATAGTTTGATGTCGGCGCGTAAACGGCAAAGATTGTCAAAGCCAGAATTGATCCATGTCTTCTTAATCGTAAACGTTCGATTCGGGTTGTGAGCTGTTCGAATGAAACGGTTTTTATGACACACTAGTGCTGACGAGAACGCCGACTCCGCCGACTCCTCTACTGTCGCATGTTCCGAGGAACAGTTCTTCTCCGGTGTCATAGACGCCGTTGAAAGGCTGGCGTCTTCTCGTCTCGGCCAGGCCGATGACGTCGTACTTTATCCTTCTTGCTCGTATGAGCGAGTCTTCTATCGAGGACTCGGATGCAAGTGCACCTGCATTGTAGGTACTGATCGTCACCATAGCTCTTTGTAATCCAGGCAGCTTCCATCGGCCCTGAGATTCTAGCAGCCTCTCCGCATTCGTCTTACCCAACGCTGCGAAATTAGAGGCTCTTTCGGGGTCAGGAAAATAAGACCCGTTCCTTTTACTGCTTTTAGCTTTTTTAAATACCCTCATATAGCTTGCTTGGCTCTGAACGCCTGAGCTCGTTGTACTCACGGGTAGCTTTCCAGGCTCTCCCAGAGTGGACATGGGGCTTATTTGTAGGAGGCCACTCCTAACCGCCTCCAATATACCTCTCAGTCACTTGATTGCAGGCTTTTGGCCGAATTGACTCGTAGAATACAATCCGCATGAGCAGGAACGCACCCACACACGCATTCATAAATACGCCTAGCAAACACTAAAAGTATGTGCCAAATCACCGCAGCAGAAACAGGGAGTCCATCTCCTGCATCCACCTGCCTCTCAGGAAGCAAAGTTCGCTTTTTGTCCGCGATTAACCTCCTACCCATCACCAGAGGACGCGCCACGTTGCTTCGCGATTAACCGTCTCGAGATCCCTCATGTGAGGGAAATCCGTGGCTTATTACCATTATTATTGTTGCTATTATTAGCTAGTATAGAGCGCAACGATATTTGAAAAACGTTAGCCGAATAAAAATTATCTGTCAACCTCGCATAAGCTTATCAAAGAAAGATTGCCTATTGATCGGTCATACCGAGGTTAAACGAAACTCAGTTTTAAAATGAAGAGTCGACATTACAGTATTCGCATAAGATGCAGATTCTGTCAACGGAACCTTTCAAGAAAGCTTGAACTCTTTGTTCTCAGCGCAAAGATATCCTAGTCTCAAAGACCACCACGTGTACCGCGTGGGTGCCCAACACTTGGCCAGCCATTACCGCTTCGCATTTCTCCACCGCTGTTTTCTTATCAAGGTGTTTCTCATTTCATTGATTTGCTACCTATATTTTTTAGTTCGAATTTCATTACCTTCCGTTGATTTTCCAGCGGCTTCGACTGGATCAAATAATGCAGCAATTATTTACCTCTTCATTCATATTAACAACATGCTATTTGGCCTTGTTGTAATAGGAATACTTTTATTCGCACACATGCTTCTTGCATTAATAAGATTGGGAAGTCTTGTGTTTCCTTTCGTTTCTAAGTTTTCATGTTTTTCTTTTTTCGTTTTTACATCTAAATCGTTTTTGGTCCTTAGTTCGTAACATCTTCCGTCCATTTAGTTGAAATGTAACTTGGTATTTGTGAACTTATGGAAAAAATAGCTCAATTGTGTTTTTTCTTTATGTCGAAGTTTTTTTTTATCCACCGTTGGTATTATTTTATCTTACGAACAGTTTTTTTAGGTGGTTGTCCGAAAACAGAATAAGAAGATGAATAGAATTCTTGATGGAGTGTTGAAGTATCGACAAGCGATACGGTACGATCTCAACAAAGAGTTCGATCTCGTCGAAAATCTACCAAAAGTTAATATTCGAAGTATTTTGAAAGTAAATAATTCGTCGAGAGAAAAATCAAACTTGTTTCTTCCTTCTTTTCGCTAAAGCCGCCGCTTTTGTTTACATTTAGTGATAAAAAAGATTTTCTAACAAAAGTAACATCAATTCCCACCTGTAGTTCAATCGTGTCAATTTCTTCCCACTTCTCCTTTCACCGCAAATCTTGTGTTTTGCAGTTACCATTTTTCGTCTTTGTAATGTTCCCAATGATTTGTATTTTGTTATTCGCAATAATAGAGAAGGGGTTGTAGCGAAGTAGTTAGTGGTGATCTGCGATGCACACGGTCGTTGGTAAGGTCTGCATTCTGAGGACAAATCGAGCACTCCCTACCTCCGGCGCCGATAAATTGCCACCAGACTTGTCTAAGATGTGGGTTGATATGTCGGTGGATTTTTGCTAACAACGCTATTCGCCTAATACGCATCTCTACGATGCTTAGGAGAGCCGGAGATCACGTGCATCTCTAAGAGATCGATCAACGCCGAACGATTTAACTTTTACCCTTAAAGCTATCCAAAAGTTTTTTGCCCTAAGATTTCCAAAACATGGAAAGAATGTGGAAGTAGTTGTAGCAACAATTTGCTGAAGAGCAATACAAAACATTCTTTTTACTAACGTGAAGGCTTGAACATCACCACATCACATCAATGTATGAATCGCAATTTCTATTTCAATTTCATTTAGCTGGCAGTGTGAGATTTTTTTTCTGGAGCTCCGAGTTAGTTCTGCCAGCACACCAAAAGAAGAAATTGACCCAATTTTATGAATCAGAGTGAAGTCTGCTCCACTGCAACCCAGAATTTTTTAGGGCACCGGCTATTCTTGTGTGAAATTCTTGCAATTAGTCAGTCAACCTCGAAGATGGTGGAAATCATGAACAAAGTTATACTTAAGAAATTAATCTGTGGTTCAGAAGTCTTTCTTCTGTCTATAGTAAAACTTTATTCCTATTCCGCAAACAAGCTAGTGTTTTAAAGTCTGAGCGTTGTTCGTGCTACCCATTAGTTAATGCGTAAAAATGACGAGTTTTGTTGAAGTGTTAGCAAAATTAGAGCCTTTCATCCCTTGTGGAGCTATTTGCAGACGAACCAATTCACCGCTGTTTATATTTCTATAAACCAACACAATCAATAGGATGAAAAAGATTCTGAAACTTTATTAAATAGTTCTTAACCCACTTCTCAATAAACTATTTAAAGTATTTATTTTCTGCCTTATGTTTTTCATGGCAATGTAGTATGTGAAAGGCAACCATAATGATGCTAAGATGTGAGCGAAACTCGGAAGCTCAGTTGAGCTTCGAACCCGAGATAACCTTTTACAGGGGCTTATGTGCTATCTACTGCATTAACCTAGCCTTTTGCTTTACAACCGAGATGGTGTAATCCCGAATTCGAAGCGCACCTACCTGAGGTTCCGAGCTTTTCTATCTCAGCATCATTGCGGTTTTTTAGCCAGCGGCAATAATGTTTACGTGCATGGATTCACGGATGCTACCAACGCGCTTCACTCAGTCGAACGTTGGTGATATGTTTGTGGTGCGAAATGCTGGTAACATGATCCCAGATACTTCCCGATACGGTGAGAATTTCAGACATACCTTTTCCCTGGGTGAACGTGTAGCTCGCTGCAGCACATGGTCTATGTTTCCATCCTACGCGGCCGTTAACCCAATCTTGTCTTCCTTAGTGGTCCGGAATCGGCTAAAAGTTGTCTGGTAGGATAAAGCAACATTGATTTAAAATATCGGTTGTACCCTGAGGCATATTCACAGAATTAACGGCGAGCGATTTACACTTTTTCATTAGAGAAAGATCTCTTTTGCACCTCTCACTTTCCTGCTTTTCCTTCTTAAGGATTTACATTAGAAGTATCGGTTACAACCGAGCCGGCAGCTCTTGAATTGGCAATGAGCAGAGGTGGCGTACGTCACATAATCGTGTGTGGTCACTCCGATTGCAAGGTGACATTAAGATTTTGTCTATGGGGATATAAAACAAACATGAACCAAAAAATTGTTACATAACGTGATAAGTTGCAAGGCTTGTAAGAACATTAACAAGTTAGGGTACAAAAACAACAATTATTTTAAAATGGCGGATGATCTTTGTAATTTCTATTCCTTTTTTTAGGCAATGAACCTCCTCCATTCACTACATCAATGTCTGAAGACCTTCGATGTTAATTCACCTATGGATCATTGGGTTCGTCGGAATAGATTTAATAGTATAAAACGGTGAGTCAGTTTACAGTTTACTAGGAAAAACAAGCATTTTACTATCCTGAAAAACACTTTTCTGTAACCTTCTTCTTCGTGAGTTTCTTGTTCAGTCACTCTCACGAAGGATATTTCCGTACATAAACGATGCTTTTCTCTCTATGTTCCAGTCTGCACGAACGACTCCATGAAGGACCAAAAATCATGAAATTTGAAAGTGAACTTATACCGAGTGAAAATTTCGAAGTTGTTATTGACCCATTAGAGGAGCTATCCGTTGACGATAAACCATCACAGGTTTGTTTTTGTTTACGCTCTCTTTATTTTATGAAGCAGTAGTGAAAACTCTTTCTTAACGGGAGGAGAAACTAACCAAACTATAATGTTGCTGAGATATTTGCAAAACTCTGGACCGCTGGTTTCTAAGGTGGGAACGAACGCGCTATTGTCCTTTTCGGGGAGTAACGCGTTCACCACCACACTAAATAACCAAACTATATCTAAAGGCCGTGTTTCCTAAACATTATTCCAATCTCTTTTCTTTATGTCATACAATTGACGTAGTATTCCCTCTTGGTTCAAAAGCTTTTTGGGGCGTTTTAGGCTTCATTTTAGGGGTTCTAGCGGTTTTAAATCAACCATATGCAGTCGTCTAGAAGGAAGTGATTCTGGTAAGTTTATACTTGTTTCGGCTAAAGAATGGAGATATTTAGCTCTTTTCCGGCTTCCGTGATATGCGATATCAAAGGGCCACAGAACGCTATCATGGACAAAAGGCTAATATTTGGTCTAAATTGCACCTATTTCAGATAAATGTACTTCAGCAGCTAATCAATATCATGTCTTACGAGTTTTTACGGCGGCATTTCGAAACAGGTTTGTAATGAATGAACTTTTGTAGATAAGCATGGAACACAGTAGGAGTAGCAATCCATAGAATTCTTCGAACATCACCTGAAATTTCGCTATGGTTCCCAACGAGACCTTATTATTCATATCCTATCAAATAGATTATTTTATATTTTAATAAGACATTATCAGTAATATTTTTTTTATTTATTTCATGTGACTCATGTTCACGTCTACTCTGCGGTTCCCAGAATTTCTCACATCCAATTCGTTTCCTCGCATCCATCGTCTACGAATGTCGAAAGTCTTCCAAGTTTTTAAGTGTAGCTTCGGTTGCTGCTTGAGGATTTCCATTTCATCTCGAGTGTTGTAGAGTGCTGGTCGAGCAATTCTACCTGGAGCCCTGAAATAGCCGAGCTGGAGCGTTCTTAACTGGGCTGCAGCGAGTGACTTTTTCCTAAACGAAACCGGTACCAATTTCCCGACTCCGGAGGGATGAGAGGCTTGGTTAGTCCAGAGCGGAATCGAGCTAATACCATGCTCGTAATAACCGACATCACTACCACTGTGCTCTCCGCGCCTATCAGCGATAAGAAAACTAAGATCTGTGGCTTTCTGTTCCAAAGCTTCAGTGCCATCTTCAATCTTTCCAGTGTTATAGCTGTTGTACTAAGGGATCTAAATCTGGACAGAGCTGAGTGATTGTCTGATCTAGATGGTGATGTTGTTCATACCTCGCTTATCGCTACAACTGGAATGGTCTTTTAGAAAAGAATTATTAGTACGGCAAATTGTCACTGTATCAGACATTGTGAGGCAACTAATATAAGAAAACCCTTTTTTAGGTCGCCTATTCGTCCATGGAATGTGGTTCGACATCAACAATGGCGACGATTACCTATTTTCTAAAAAGCAAAAACTCTTTGTTCTTGTTCATGTTGGTTTTTTGGATTGCCTACACATTTGTTCCAACAACTTTCCTATCTTCTGATATGCTTCCTATTTCTTTTAAGGAGATCAGTTTCCCTGAGCTGTTAACGGAAGCCGAAGTTTGATACGGTCGCCTTATATTCAATAATGAAATAACAAATGAGTAATAGAGTAATAAGCACCGGTTAGATGTCATTTATTGAGATTTCGCTCGGAAGTGAAGAATAATGTAAGTTTTGCTGAAAACACCAAATGTATGAAGAATCCCTTAATCCGGTAAAAATCTGTGGCTTGCAAGTTTTCTTAGAAAGAAGTCTTTAATCCAATCATTTCTATTATCGTAGAAGTAGAAGTGTTGTGGTGACTTTTATATGGCTGGCATGTCCTGTATATAATTAATTTACGATTCCACTAATATTTAAGTTTAACTAAGAACTCGTTTTGATTCAATCTCGTGAACACGAATTGGATTTGAATAAATGCATGTTTTTTTAACAATAGTAAATATTTCACGATGATTTTCGTTGTATTCTATGGGGATAGTATCCTATGGTGTAGTGATTAGAGGTGGCCAGCAATATAAAAATGGTCGTTGGAACTCGTGTACCTGGCGAAGCAACCACTCCAAACTGTGTGTTGGTGAACCGGCTCCAGATTTGTCTAAATAATACAAAAACACTGTCTTAATCACGTTCTTGTATTCACAGAAGAATTCAAGTTTTTTTTCTTGGGACCAACCAGGGTGAGCCAACATGGACTTAATTTTCAACGAAAATTTCTGTTTTTTTTCCAACTACTTGTCTACTAGAATTTCGGGCTCCTTCATTTATACAAAAAGGTAAGGCGTTCCGGTTCGACGGGTAAAGTATACCATAGAAAACATGGTTTTTTCATCAAGCAAGCAGTCTGTTACAGATCATAATGTATATTTGTCTTTTTAACATTTTGGTCTTCGTTTTCACCACTTTTTTTAATCTCAGGCGGAAGAAACTGTCAGAAACAACACAAGAAACGAACAGTGTGAAGAAATTAATTCGAGACATGTGCAACTACAACGTTTCTCTGTTTTAGCCAGATTGAACGAAGATGGGATCACTAAAATCCCCCGACACGATATGGAATTGATAAGTGAAAATTTGTACATCAACCACTTCCGTACCACATTCCTCATCCCGAACCTTAAAATCGCCACTGGAGAAAAACCACTCAAAATTGTTTTCTCTTAGGTATGAGCTGAGATAGGAAGCATGAAAAAATCCACAGCTTCAGACCCGTTGAAACTGCCACAAGATTTCTTAGAGCCGGAGGCCACAAAATACATGTGTTTCTCGTAACCCATATAATATCCCATCTTCAAAAATCCCAGACGTGTGCATTGCAGGATCTCGCGCACGGTCATCATGACCTAGAAAAGGGGTCTTCTTAAATATCGTCCGGCACGTTTGTTGAAAATACTTCTACAAACTTATTATTACTTTTGCATATTAAGCACACTGTTCGCCTGACCAGAGCAACATTTCAATAATAGTGTCAACAATGTGTTGACTTTACGGAGCACCGTCTTTCAAACCAAAAAGGAGCTCGATATTGCCACCCTAAATCCCAGCTCAGATGAAATTGCTGCCGGAAATTGCTGTTTCCTTGCATAGTCACCTTCTAACATCGCGTGCTCTTGGAGGAAGCACTATACTTATTTTAAACTCAAAGAGAAGATTATTCTGCCTATATTGAAAATTACTAGTGTGATGAGGCATCGCGATGACGCGGTATTGGTGAAAGCAGGTCATTAATGTGCTCAAGTATAAATACACGATGGTCTTTCCTTTTTTAAGGTATTCCAAGCCGAATTTCTGTCATGCGTACCATCTTCAGGTGATTAAGTGAGTAGTCTGAACTCTTTTATTTACTGCCTTTTTCTTCTTAATGGCAGGTTATGTTGCGAAATATAACTCGTATGAAATGCTGATGGCAAAAAGATCGATAGAACTAGCTGAGATACACGCAAAGCGAAGGACCCGGATGGTGTAGTGGTGAAGTGCGCTGCTCCCCGGTAAGGACAAGAGCGCGTGTTCGTTCTCCATTGCATACACCTGTGGTCCGGAGTTTTGCAAATATCTCAGCATTTCATATAAGTGAGTAGTGTCAAGAATTCACAGCTATTCACTTGCCACTATTCCATGTAGCAACTGTCAAGTGATGTTTCCTTACTTCAACAATACGAATACCACTATATGTTGAGTCGGCAATTTCCCATCTCACTTGCTTGATGTTGTAAACTTCTACTACTACCTAGCAATAATCTTTGTTCTATCCTCACCTTATTTTTTTCTGTTGGTCTAGCCGGTATTAGCGTTTTTTTTTGTTTAGAATCTTCTACTGCTTTTTTACAGTAATTGATGCCGTCAAACCATTGTTATCAGGAACATCAATTCAAAAATTTTTTAGAAGTTTGCGTTGGCATTGGATGAGATAACGTTTATTCTTTTACAAAAACTATAGCACGGAGCGCAAACTAGGCAATTGAGCACTTCGCCGTTGCTTAATGTTAGCTGGTTCTTTAGAGATTGCTTTCTATGTAGGAGCAGCCGCATTTCGACAGACTAATACATGTATGGCTGTGTTTTTGTTCGAAATTTTGGGTTTGGTGCAATTGCTAATCTCTCTGCTGTAACTGAGGATGTCCCAGTGCCTCATGATAGTGAAAAATGGAATGCAATTGCGTCTGCAAGGTCAAGCGTACTCTTACACAGATAACCATCCAACTGGCGTCGTAGATTTTTCCTTTCAAAGGAGGAGTGCCGACTACCATAGGCTTCGTGGAATCACACAGCAGCGTTGAGGTGTGGAAAACCAACGAGGGATGATGCGGTCGTCTTGTTCATTCTTTTATAAGCTTGTGCACTTTTATATCCTCAAGAGATATCCCGCTTAAATCCATCACCAAGTTCTCTTAACCTAAGCACAGCTTAAAAGGAGAAACAAAGCAATTTATTTGAAAACTCCAAACTGTAGGTGTCTCCGGTAGGGAACGAACGCGCTATTAACCTTTTCGGGGGTTAACGTATTCACCACCACACCATGCGCGTCCTTCGTTTCACCTGTCTCTAAGAGAATTCTGTCGACAAGTTCCATTAGCATTCACCCGTCCGCGGTATTGATCTGGGTAGTCCAAATAGGCAATGAACCCAGTTAAATTGAGGCTGCAGCAGTCGAAATCGCATTGTTAACTTTTTTATTTACTGCCTATTACAATTTTTCACGGCAAGGTATTATGTGTTATCCAACCACAATGACGCTGAGATATTTGCAAAACTCCGGACCGCAGAGATAGGCAGTAAATGAAAAAGTTAACATTGTGATTTCGACTACGACCTCATCTCTGGGTTCATTGCCGATTTAGGCTCTCCAGATCAATCCCGTTGACGGGTGATTGCTAATGGCACCGATCGATAGAACTAGCTGAGAGGAAGCAGAAGCGAAGGGACCGAATTGTGTGGTGGTGAACGCGTTAACCCCCGCAAATGGTAATAGCGCATTCGTTCCCCACCTCAGACACCTGCTGTCCGGAGTTTTTGCAAATATCTCAGCGTCATTGAGGTTGTATCACACATAATACCCTACCGTGAAAAATTGTAATAGGCACTTAATAAAAACGTTAGCAAAGTAATTTGCTTCAAAATAGTTAAATGGTTTTTTTGTTCATCCCATATTAATAGTAATAATCCTAGCTGCGACAGTAATAAAAATGACAACAACAATAATAATGCATTAAGCTTATTACATCGCCTCGTGCAACCCGTCGCAAGATTCCTTGTCTCCATTGAAAATAATGTTTTCCTAGACTTCACAATCATTATTCCAATCCATAAAGGGCGGAGACTGCCTTTGGTGAATACGCCAAGATTATGGAAAAATCCCAGAGGAAACGGAATATAATCCCTCATTTCAGTGGGGTAAAGAAGTAGAGAGTCCTCATGCAGCAGCTGAATTCACACTTGAATTTCTTCCACATGCACTACTGATGGCTGTACAAATGGGTGTTTAAAGGATAATCTTTGCATCAACAATCCATGCAAACATACATTTCCGTATTGATTTCACATAATTCTATATCCTACGGTCTCTTTTACCGTATTACGAAATGATTCTGCTTCTACAACATGGACTAGCGCAGGGCAACGGTTATCACCTATTGGTGGCCTTTTTTCCATTCGCACTCCTAGAAGTCTACATGTACTTTAGCCACTCGTTGACCTCTTGCTACATTGATGTCTCAACCTTCTTAAAACTATCTATACCGCAGTGCGAGGTTGATACATCTCCAATTACAAACAATTGCATGCTTCATACCACGCCTTCCTTTATATGTTACTGTTCTCAATATCTGCCAACTGTACCTCACTCACATTAGTCGGACCACCACAGAACATTCCTATATTTACGTGTATACATATATATATGTATGTATATGTATATACGTATGTATAGAAATGTATAGAAATAAAAAATATATATGTATATATTAGCTGGCGTGGTATCAGAGGTGCCACACTGTGCCAATCCCGGCATTTCTAGTCTTCGATTCTTATCCACGCATCCACTACTGACGAACTTCTTCGATACATTTTTCCGTTCTGCCGTTACTTGAGGAATTCCGTCATTTTCACCAGTGTCGTCGAAATCTGGTCTAGTCAGTTCTCCTAGGAATCCTGAGATAGCCATTCTAGGGCGTTCCCAGTTCCATTAAAGAAAGAGCGTGAAAGCGAGAGAGAAAGAGAGAGAAACTGAACTTCTTCCAGACAAGTCTAGCACCAATTTCCTCACCCCAGAGGATGAGCGAGCTGATGAGTGCCGTGAGGAGTCGAAGCAGTGACGTGGCAGACTGGGCCAACACAGCAAGGAACGGGGTCACTATATATAATCTCTTTCCTACTTAATCCCTATTCTTTTCATGGCACAGTATGCTGCGAAATATAACTGCAATGACGATGAGACATTTGCAAAGCTCCGAAACGCGGGTGTGTACGGTGGGGATCGAACACACTATTACCCTTTCCAAGGGGTAAAGCCTCCACCATCACACCATGCTGGTCCTAAATTTCGCCTTTCTCGCAGCTGCTTTTTATAGATGCTATCAGCAATCACGCGTTAATGGGATTGATCTATGGAGCACAAATCGGAAAGAGTAACAGTGTGCTCGATGCCCACCGCAGACACCTGCGGTCCAAAATTTTACAAATATCTCAGCATCATTGTAGTTATATTTTACTATATATACTTTTAATTACTCAAAATGTGCACAAAAGAGGGACACCTAGCATCGCAACATTTGTGTGACATTGATGAGCAACAGAAACCAGCTGCCACCGTTACCGTTCGCTCAAATAATCACTTCAATCTCCAGTTCTCTCTAAGTCGACGCTAGATTTCAACTTTAGAAGCCACCGCTATAAAAAAAAGCAGCCCTCCAAGAAAATATCTTCGCATTCAGCAACCCTCATTTAACCAATAATACAATACAAGCAAGGCAGTAGCAAATTGGCGGCGACATAAAAATTGCAGGACCGTTGCATTTCAAGGCAGTATGGTGATCCCGTTTAATCGCAACGCTATATTCTTACCGCGTAACCCTACACGTCATTGGGATTGTTTAGGCGAAACGGTTCACAGTGATCAAATATCACCAAACAAGCGCAAAAATAACCATTCAACTAGTCGTTATCTTCATTACCTGCTTATTAAATCGCTACCACAGTTATTGTGCCTATCACAGAGTGAGAGAAGTGCAACAAGCCGCTCGAAATGTAAACGAGTGTTGCTTAAATACCTAAGTGTAAGCGTAATTATAATAAAAGAGATGGGAAGTGAACATGCTAGTACTTTCAGCTGGCTTGAACGAGCCATATAGCGCAGTTCTGCCGTATTTTGATGAGCAATTAGCATAATGAGAACACGAAACTCATCTGAACAGCCCAGAAATCGTAACAGTGAATATTTTACTACAATTTTTGACGAAAGGAAGAATTACTGGCACATAATTTTTTGTGGAACCGCCAGCAAACACACGACCCCATAACGCCAATGGCTTTCCCCATGCTCGCTTTGCTAGCTAATTGTCGAATTTAGTGTCCCATCCTCTATTCCTCAAGGATTCTATGTAGCACATGGTATTCATTAGCATTAATGCATATCAACCAAATAATAGGCCTGGATTATCTATTTACACCACCCTCGTCTTCACATCTACTGCACTGATCTTAGGACCTTCGTTTTGTTTTCTTGCATCCGCCATCCACAAAACATTCCAAACTTTTCACCTGTGGATTCGGCTGCTTCTTGACTTTCGTTACCGTCTTTATGAATATCGTTGACGCCTGGTATTGCCGGTTCTCGTTGGAGTCGCGGGGTATCCAGGCGGAAGCATTTTCATTTGATTTCAAGAGGAATTATGAAGGCGGCCACAATTCGACGTGGAGATATTCCACAATGCCCCCATTTCTCTTCTCATTCTCTTGTAATCCAGTCCCTCAAGATAACTTTCATTTCGTTTTCGATCAAAACTCAGTACAATGCGATGGCTTCCTCAACGAAAGACGAATTTTTTTTTGTAAATTCAGTACCTTATGACAGAGTTAGTTACATAGTTCAATTTTAAGCGGTAGTTGATTGTTACTTTATACCCAGGCCCTATCGTGATTCGAAGTCATGGTACAGAATCGGCGGATATAAAAATGTTAACCATTTCCTCAGAAGTTAGTTTTTCAAATATTAAAAGGAAATTCTCGAAGACTATTGGTATTTCAGAAGTTTGAACCAACAGACCTATAGAAAAGATTTTGCCCTGTTACATTAATCACACGTACAATTTTGTACAGTGACTTCGTAAAGATGAGTGTTGAATTAAAACTTTCAGACACTTAGAACGAAGTCTAAATTTTCAAAAAATCCAGTGTAACGGTATTGGTTACAAGCGTAGACGTCGAGAACATCAACACGTCCTGTCAATCAATAACTCGTTTATTACCACGGTGGTAGTGGTGCCAGTCATCACGAACACGATGCTAGTTCGACCCCGACCCAATTAACCGAGCCCGTCATCCCTCCACGGACAGAAAAATTAACTAGACTTGGCTGGGAACATTTTCATTCCCGCTCAAATTGGGAACAATATAACTCTAGGATCCCAGGACTGCATGAGGATTCAATTCGATTAGCATTAAAACGACATCCCTAAAGAAAACGAAAATACTGAAGCAGCAGCTGAACCCAGTCGTGAAAAGTGCGTAGTCATCGTTAATGATGGATGCAAGGTAACGAATAGGGTAGGGTATCCTAGGATCTGCTGTGTGATATATATGATGTCCTGTCACGTAGCAATAATATTAGATAAATTGTTTTTATTGCAATTAATTAGATCCATCATGAGCCGCAATATGTTGATTTACAGTTGAAGGCGGTCAGTATTTTCAGTCCTTATCTCTCTTACAGGGGCCACATTGCTTCGCAAAAATACAAAATTATACTTTGAATACCTTAGCAAGTGTTAAAATCAATAGCGCTGATTGGTGCACGAGCGTTTTATAACGGCGCACAGCTCCAAAAGTATAGGCAGATAGAAAAAAGTAGGGCATCTTGGTCGGCATGAACACATCACATATGACATATCGTGCGGACGGTGAAAGATTAGGCGTCGTGACCAACGGGTTAAATAACTGGCTTAAACAAAGCATACTGACCCAAGATCAGTGATACGGAAACACTTGCGTAGTGAAGCCGTAAATTTTTTCCTCAATATTTCTGCCTCTTTCCCACCGACATATGATTTTTAAGCAAAAAATGGGAAACTGAATCCTTACATGGATATGAACACCTACATAAACAACTGCAGACAGCATGGCTACAAATAAATTCACGTTTATTTTCAAGAATTACTTTTCATCCGATCTTGTAAAGAGAGCGAAGATAATATGAGTTGCCTTGGATCATATGATGAATTCATAGAATGCGTTAAAGGAGCAATCGGCGAGTCGGTGATTCTCCACAATGACTGAGTTTCCGTAACTTGTACACAGGCTAAATACGGTGTGTTTTGCAGCAGATAGAAGAACTGCTCGATAGGTCGTGGACATGACCCGCACAGTTGCCGAGTGCAAGTTTCCAAGGACGCTCCATGCGCCACGATCAGTATTGTACCTTAATCAGGTAGTCTCGTAGCCAGAAAGTTAGCATTATTTCAATCATAACATCTGAAAAAAAGTACAAACAAACGCACCGCTAAGATGTCGCTTTAGCAAATCCTTCGTAACGGAGTATGAACGCTCATAGTAAGATGTTAGTGATTCATTTAGTTGCAAATCTGATTCTTTAAAGATCGGTACATAGTCAACATTAATGGAATATCCTAAAATAATGCAGTGTATAAAAAAGATTTTAGAATATTTCAGTAAATCAGGATTTCAAATAAACGGCAAAACAATGAAAAGTATAAAAACTGGAAAGAATTTCTCATTGTTCACCGGACTTCCTCAGTTCTTCGGCTTGCATCCAACTTGGACGACTGCCTTTGCACCACTGCATCCATTCAAAAAGGCCCGGTTCGACATTTATCAGCGTTGTCATGCCTTTATTACCACCAATACATTTATATAAGTATTTCTTCAAATAGTAGGTAATAGTAGTAAATAGTAGTAATATACTAAAAAAGTTGAGCTTTTCACTGCAGGTTACATTTTTAGCATGCGGAATTTTCTGTGTTCACCTTCGCATGATTTGAGTTCAAGCTATCACATGTTCCAAGTTACACTACGGTACGATTTAATTTTCTGTCTTTGCTCAAGCGAAAAGTGAACTTTGTTTCTTTATCGTTATTGGCACCTGACACAAAACCACTTTGTTTAGGTACTCTTTCGAACACGAACATTTTGCACATGCATGAACGACAAAAACGCTTCCTGCTTCATAGTCTCCCTTTTAAAATGTTTTCTCTCAGCATAGTTTCTGAAGAAGAAAAAATTTCACGTGCATTCTAGTGCAGTCTACAATATAAAATGTTTCAGTTACAAAGACACCGCTTTGCATCAATAATTACCAAAACATGGTTTGCGCAGGAATGACTCACTAAAGATGACTTTGATATTGCAATTTTTCTGCATGATAAGGCTCTACCTATTAAGAGCAGTTGAACACAGCGTCGAAAACCGATTTTCAAAGACCGATCTTACGTTTTCATATCAGCATTTTGAACTACCGCAGTACTATTTAAAGTTCGACTTCATCGAAGACATCTATGGCCTACTATGAGGTTCATATAAAAATAAGGTCAAGGCTCCCGGTGTTATCAATACCTATGGGATGCGTCATCCATTCGATTTCGTCAAGCATCGTTAGCGGTATGGGAGTACATATCGGGCGGATACAGTGAGATACCGAGCTATAGCTCTGGAATCAGTATGCCGACCCAGAGAGATGGAAGATTTGGTGAACCGGGGGTGGGCCAGAGCAAATGTGTATCGCATGGAACATCAAAACTAATCACTACTCCATGCCAGTACCATCAAAAATACATGTGTTAATAGAAGTTAAAATGGAAAACATGGATTTAAAAAAATTACCGAGTCCTTTTATGATACCAACAGCCGTTTGTACGCAACGAAGGGCCGATGAGCAGTAGACAAAGTCAATTTTTACACCAGAGTCTCGCAAAGCTCTACCTAGAAGTTTCATTTCCAAAACTAAAATTGCTTTTTTGCTGAAGAATAAAAGATGTCACTCCAAATATCCGAAATGTTTACAAAAAATTGCCATAGCTATCTATGCAGCATAAAGCCTTATCAAGAATAAGTTGAAAAATTGTACAGTTTCTCACAGTGCTTGGCAGAAAGATGAAATGGTATCACATCTTCAAACCTGTTAATTTTGACTGTATGTATCCCATTTCGGTGAGAGGAGCGTCAAATGCAAAGTGTTTCCACCCATCCTTCCTTTTCGGCACTATTCGTGGCATGTTTATATCCACTGGACAGTATCTGAATAAAAAAGAGTTCAAAGACATTTCATTGATAAAGTACACCCAATCGCTTTACAATTTTATTAGACGAAGGAGACTAAAAACTCGAATTTCTCCAACCATTTAGCAATGATTCATGAATGCTTGAGAATAATCGAAATAAAAGAACCCATTACCTTCCGTTGCAGTCAAAAGCTCTTCGTATCCACGATTCTCCTCCAGTGCTGAAGACAAAGTCACATCTTTCTCCATGCCTAACAACGATTATATTTCTCCCTGACATTAATAATCTGTAAGCTTTCCAATAAAACAATGTGGACTGCGAGCTAAAGGTAACTCAATCATCAACGAATTGGAGATCGTAAGGGGAAACAAGACAAACTGTACACCTCCATGAAGAGATGGACAAGGCGACATAATGAGGAAAAATTGAACAAAATAGCTAAATAGCACCCCACTCTTGCTCAGTCCTCTCAAGGAGAACCGTTGATTCCAACAAAGTCAAAAACGAAAGGAAAAAACAACCGGAAAAATCACCGATGGCGAAAACATCCAAGAGAAATAACATATTCACTTAAAGCACTAAATATGTGTAGGACAAGAATAGGAAATAGGCTAACGTATTGAAATTTCACCAGTTGTTTTCTTCCAAGGGATTTTAAATACGGATGCAAAACGTAAACACTATGAGCTAAATGGATAAAATGTACCTCAATGTTTCCACAAACATGACTTCGAGCAAATACTGCAATGTTGCTACATCAAAATTAGTACTGAATGAACTTTTCGTAAGTGAGATCAGAGATAATATTGCAGTTTTTGGATATTGGACATTTCGGTAGCAAGAGGTCCAAATGAAAATGCTGAGGTTTTTGGTACTTTTACACCATTTCTAATACGAGTTATCAAAAAATAACCCTAAGCCAGTGTTGAGAGTTCGGCGGTGAACACCCACCCAATAGCATTATATTGAATCATGTAGCCGTACAGTCGTGAATATTAATGAATTCGGCTGCTTAACGACAAACAACTGTAATCTAACTTGCTACGAATGAGAGACTGAAACTGTACATTATAGAACAAACAACACGTAATGCTGATAACTAAGGCAAACATCGAAGTCTTTCTTTCTCTCTCTCCCTCTTTCTCTCTCTTCCATTCCCTCTCACTCTCTCTGCATTGCTTCATATCTTTATTTTTCCATCTCTACTAACAATTAAAACTCATGGCTTACTAAGCATTACAGTTATTTTCCTAGAAATAGTGTGAATCCGGTGTTTAAGAGTGCAGGCGGATTAAGAAGTGAGAGACATATTTAGTGATATCAAGTGTGCTTGTTGGGTAGACTATTCAGATTTACCTCAGAATGAGTGAAAAAAATTGAGGCCTTGCTGATTCTAAGCTTGGCCTTCAGACCAGGTGCGCACGATCGATTAGGTGAACCGCGTACGCGCTGTTGTTAACGCGTATAACCACCTAATATCATTTCTCTACAGGCGATGATCCCTTTCACAGCAGCCCTCACCAAAACCATCTACCTTTATCACGTGATTGGGACTTTGGTCTAAAGTAATTCAAAATCAACGTAGACATGCATTATATACGATAGTGGAGCAGAATGAATTTGCAAGATGCGGATGTTTATGATGCTTAAACTGGGACATGGTGAAAATATGAAGTAAACACGTCAACGACAATGCCGTTCTTTGGATAGCTCCACACACTATTGTCTGAGCCAGCCATCATTTCCGCGTTCTAAAACAGGTCAACACTCCTTTCAAGCCATTCTAAGCGCCTCCCAATCATTCGCTTCACCATGACAGAAAGTGATTCTCGCTGTTGGGTTGCGATGAGCGGCAAAGGGTTTGTCCTTCCTGCCAATTTATACAGAGAAGAAGTTTGAAGTTTCCACCTAGTAAACCAGATAAGGAAAAGTCGATATCAACAATCTCCTCTCCACTCGCGAAAAAACAACTTCGAAGACGTCACACCTCGTTTCGATTCATTGCGTCGCCGACCACTCCCACCGGTCGCAACCTGGAACCGCTGTGGCTGATGACCGAAACCCTGAGCCGCTAGGTTATCTTGGTATCGCGAGGAAAACTGTCCACAAAACAGCAGCAATTCAAATAAATTGGGATTTTATTCGTGCCTGAATTTTTTACGAAAGCCTACTGTGGAAATACTTAGATACAACTTGTTAAGGAATAAATTTTCTTTGTAGTATAACTACCGATCGATGTATTTCTCACAAGCACTGCTTTTCTTTTCGTTCTCTAAGGTTCCAGTTCAAGAAAAGGCACAAATCAATATTATTTTATTTCGCATTTTCATTTCACCCAAAATGGGAGGATAAAACACAACATTGGCATGATAAGAGAACATTTATTTCATGGGTAAAGTCTGTTTTGGCAAGGCGTTTTCCCAAACATCCTCGAATTTGGTGGGAATAAACAATTAGTCCGATTGTAGCAGCTAATCTGCAGTTTTTGCAGAGGTCTCAAATTAGAGGAGTTAATAAAAAAATTTCCTGAATAAAATTAGCCATTTATAGGGTGCTCAGTAACAACGATGGGTCACCTCCAGTTTTCAAAAAAAAGCATCACGTCCTTATCCATTGCTTTGTAACTAATAGCAAAGTAAAGTAGTACCTATTTCAATCACTAGTCCAAGAAAATATTTATGCAAAAGTGCACTAGAAGAACTGGAGCTATAAAGAACACTAATTTTCCAATCTCTCATATGATAGGAAACATAGCTCGCGTATTCCGCTTTTTATTACCTACTCGATAATTTAACTCGTTATTTTAATATTTTACGTTTGTCATTTTTTATTGTAGAACTATTATCTAGTACCTTACCGAACGAAGAGTGAGCTTTCACTTATGAAATTTAGAGCAAATGTACGATGTTGTTATAAACTCATTTTGACATACTGGTTTGTAGTTATGAGCAACTATAAATTGATGACAACATCACTTACACATAAGCCCAGTGACGCTTACTTTGATAAACGAATAGTTAGGTTTTTTAAGCGCCATTCGATGTCCTACGCAAGCATCCATTGATCTCACTGCATCACGACCATCATCCATAGAGTTGAGGTAATCTGCCTGGTAAATGACAAAAATGTACATGTGAGAATCCGTTATCTTCATTCGAAAGTCACTCTCAACTGAGAGACCTTCCAGATGACGTAAGTAACAAACACGTTCACCCACTTCGTAGCTGGGTCATAGTCCACTCTACTCTACTTTCAATGATTTTTCGTGAAATGTTTCCATCAATGACTTCTCTGCTGACCGCTCTGGTCTAATCTTCATCCATTTGTCGTGAAATTTACTTATCAAATACTTGTGATCCGGTACTTTTTGAGAGGTCTGGTCTAGAGTAATGCGCTCAAATTTTATTCGAAAAGGCACCACTCCATAGCTTTTGTTGTTGTATGCAAAATCCTCGGTACGGTAAAGGTGTCAGCAAGTGTCTTAGTTGCACAGCATATCCCTGGGATAGCTGCCGAATCGACGAGATGACTGAGTAGTTCCATGTGTCTGTTAGCGCTTTCTCATAGAAGTCCGAAGACGATCTATACCGCTTAATGTAGCTTGCATGTTACTTCTCTCATCTCATTGATGTTCATCGAACGCCGTAAACAGATGTATGATATGATCGCTTGATGTTCAGCGCCATCCATTTTGACGCGCTCTCAATCGCGTGGCTTTCTTAGAACTTTCCCCGTTTTTATTTAACATATTTTTTGGGCTTATCATTCGGCCAACTTAACAGTTACTCTGTTTCTATGGTAAAATCTGAAAATACGAGGGTTTCGTTGCCGAAGTAAAGGTTTTGTGTGCATTTGGAACTCCTTGGGTGCAGAGGCGGAATGATTGCATTTAGTGGTGCAATTATTATAGCGGTCGGATAAAGATTTATGTAGGACATTAGTTGATGGTACGTACGAAAGTTCCTACAACCCCAGGTATGCTTTGAAAATATAATAGCTCAAGCAAAGATCAGAACAATTTTTGCAGACCTGCTTGCATAAATACTTTGGTTTTTTGCAAAGTCAGCAGTGTATGTGGAATCTTTATGAAGAATTTCTATACACACACGAAAGTAGACTAGTCAAAAAACTCTGTTAGGTTTCCGCTAGTGATCTTTCTTAGGCACCGTTCAAGTCAAAAAGGTCTTCCAATGCTCTAAACATTTTCCTGCATGTTGCTATATGGATGACGTGATATGTGTATCCTTCCCGGCCTCCGCCTCGACTCTAATTAATGCTGCCTACTCCTGGAGCTATTCCTCTTCTCATTCTCATGATCTGTGCTTTAAAAAAATGGATCGAAGGACGACTTCTCCAGGTGCGATTCTTGGTCTGGTATAAGTATTGCGATTAGAAAAAAACTATTGATGATAGACCCTTCGGCATAAAATACACACCGCAGCAAAAGGTTATAGAAATTTCACCTTCGGTCAGCATTGCTAATTACCTTTCTTTCTGTCCCTCTGCAGTTCTTCTTGGATGAATCTTCTTGTTAAGAGAAGTAAAACATGTTAGCGCTACTTCGGAGTCCTCTAACCAGCTGATCACAGTCTTCATTAGGCTTAGTTCGACATTCTGCTAATATTTACTAGCTGAAATTATTTCAGAAAAAAAGATAGCTGTCACCTTTTCTATCTCCTACTATAAACTTCCAGTGCATGTATTTGCAAGCAGTAGCCCTCCTATAGCGTTGGAATTCCAGATAGCAAAATTTTAAAATTTTCGTGCAAGATTAGTTCATGTTAGTGATCACAAAATGGGTCTAAATACTTTACATTATGTGCACTAGTTGGATGGATAGCACTTGAGTTGGAGATAGTGCTCTAGTTTTTTCGTGAAGGTTGCAGACATTGGATGGTGAAGTGGGAGTAAAAATTCCTATGCGAGTCGACGTGTTGGATAGTGAATGGGTGTGTGAGAAAGGCCGCGCTACCGGTAATTCCTAGCGGAATCTTCTCACCAACGATATTATCGCTTCCATCATTAACTTGGAATACGTCGGTTTTCCCGTCCGCTCTTGATCCACTATGGAGCTACGACGGTAAAGGGGGCTTGACAACTATTAGTGTCGTAGGCGTAGACCAAGAAATAGAGCCATCGTGCGTCTGGACGCATTGTATTGACGACGTAAGAAATCTCGAACTCAGAATTGCTTGCCGCTCATCGCTAATCTCATTGCCTAGCGTCGACCGCTGGAATACTCATCAACCGTTTTACCAACGTCGATTCTTCCTCAACAA